CTGATCCACGGAGTTTAGGAAGTTGCCAATGGGGGCAACAAGTTCGATTGCGAGGGAATGATTTTAAAACTCATAAAACATTTTTGGGAGGATCGCAAGCTCGGTGAGCATCATGCCCAACGACGGTGTAGCGCATTAAGCACGGGTAGGTTTCCTACATTGATATTTAGGGCGACATTCTTCGGGCGAGAATCGAGACGGGAGCGAGCGAGGGAGGGATATCTTCGCTCATTTGTGGGCGGGAAGTCGATTTTTGATGGCCGTTTAGGAGCTCGCGTTTTGGATTGAGTACTCTGGAGCGGCAAGCGACATAGACATGGCAATGCCGCCCAGTGGTATTCCCGATCAGGAGGAGGAGAATGGCCGCTGCAAGACCCTCGCTGACCGGATAAACTATATTGCGGTTTTTCTTAATGACGCTTCTGGCGTCAGGGCTCGCCAGTGCTCCCTTGTCTGACTAGTCTTCCCAGCAGCGATCGGAACGGTGTGTATGGCGATTGGCGATCTTCAATTCCTAGGGGGTTGTGCGACGGAAATTCGAGATGATGAAGCCAGCTTTATTCAAGAATCAATCAGCGGAATTCGATAGTACTTCTCCAAAAGGTCGAATTACACTCTCAGCTTAGACACACTCATTCGATCAGCTGAGTTCGCTTTTTGGCAGCAGACCGGTCAAGCCCGTATCACATCCTGCCTTCAAGGTTCTCGTGGCTTCCTAGTAGTGACCGTAAACGTCTCCATGCCCCCAGCCGCGACCCCATCCGTGATGAGCAACGCCATATCCGTAGTGGTGCCCTTGGCCATAGCCGAGTCCGAGCGGAGCTTTCGCCAGAACGGGTGTGGCATAAGAAGCGTGAGGGACCAGAGGAGCTGCAGCGACTACTTCGGCCACAGGGGCGGCGATAGATGTGGCGGCAGCGGGTTCAGGAGCAGTTCCGGGCTCATTGGTTTTGATGGAGGCACGGAAGCCGTGTCCATCTGCGACGTAGTGCACCACTCGGCTGCGGCCATCGATGTCGGTCAGACCATAGGACCCATGAACACCGTGCGGGTTACCTGCCTCGGATCTGAAAGTTCCGCCGGTGGCGTGCTTCTCATCGTAGGCGAACTTGTAGTTCCCGAGTCCGTCCTCGGCTCG